AAAAATTAAAAAATTATTTCGTCCATCAATTCTTGAGTTATACATTTGTCATGTTTTTGGCGCCCCCTATAGTCCAAAAAGAAAATTACTTTTTGTGCCTATTCCCCAATACAGAATGAACCTTACCACTGAAATGTGCGTTTTTTGGATACATTGTTGATGAGTTATGAGCATTTCTATCTAAGCCCCGCCTTTTTGCGAGTACGTTTTGATTCATGGCGGCAATATTTATTGTGTTAACATGCTCATTTTCTACGGTAATGTGTCTGACCCTCCAACGATGCTGTATACTAAGTTTGGTGTTGAAAAACAAAAAATTGAAATTTAAGTGAATATTTAACTGTTTTTAAAATTATGCTAATTAAAAATAAGTGTGCAAAATGTCAGGTCATTTGGAGTTACGGTGCGACTTTGTACATCTTTCCAAAAATGGAAATGGCCATAGGTGGCGCTAGAGAGCATGTTGGACAATTTGAACACATTGACTCCAAAATATTGAATTTTTCACCGATCCTGGAATCCGTGCAAAATTATACAACTTTTGAAGCATCCTAAAGCCCTCAAAAACAGGATACCGAAATGGAATAATAAGAATAATACCTAGGATAACAATAGGTTCCTCGCACTTCGTGCTAGGACGCCGTTGGGTCCTAGTGCTCCGTGCTCGGGCCCTAATAATTAGTGCTGGCCTAAGATTACACATTTTTCTGCGATTTAATTATTCAATAATAAATTCCAAAGTAGTGTATTGCATTTTTATTTTAAAGGACACCTATCATGCTATATCTAAATGATATATTGTAGGGCCATACCTATATAAGGTATATTTATACGTTTCTGTTTTCAAAATACCAAACAGATCATGCATTTTAGCCATGCCTCATTTCGCTCTATGTGCTGCTATGTCTACGGGGCTGATTCTGTGAGCTGCAGCTGACCACGCCCCCCTGCAGGAGAGGGGGAGCTGTGCTCTGATCAAGTCAAGAGGGGAAGAAAAAAAGATCTCCGTCCTCTGTGTTTTATTATATTATTATTATAGGCCTATAGACAGGGGTGCACATAACTGGTACGCAGGTGGCAACAATCTGAAATGCGTACTGTCACTTGTGTCACAAAGCGCATTTGCGTACCGACGTAAATGTGAAACTTTTCCAGAAGGCGGTTAGTTCACCGGACGACAGAGTCGGTCTCCGTGTGCACAGACAGGGCTGCTGTTAACGTCGGGCTGTACAGCAGCCCTGTGCTAAAACAGCTGATCACAAAGTTCACAAAGTTCACACGCTCCGCGGTCACAAAGCTCTGTACTCTACTACCACCACCCCCCACCCACCCCCCCCGTTGACATTCGCGAAGTGCTGTACTCCACTGACGCTACGGTTCCAAATAACTCAACTCCTCCGTCTGAAGAGATGTCAAATGTCCATGTCAGAGTTCTGTACCTTCCTCCATGTTTCTGGCCCCGCCACTTCTTTCTGTTTCCGTTCATGTGAGTGCTGCAGCAGTCTTAGACCCGCCCCAAATGCTCTCATTGGTTGAGACGCGTGATGACGCCAATCCTGATCAACGTCCCGCCCCTCCTGTGACCCATGGTCTGTTTGTATGTGTATTCAGAGCCAGTGAGGAACGACGATTAAATGATTCTCGGCGTTAATTAATTAATGCGTTAACATGATAATAACGCGTTAACTTGCCCAGCCCTAATAATAATAATATGTTACCCATTCTTAAACATAATCTATATGTTGGGATATACTGTATGTCTTATGTCTTATGTGAGATTGATCATTCGACCTCACTAAACCAACCTGAGTCAAGTTGCTCTCCATTAAATGATATACAATATTTCTGTTGCGTAGTGTCTGCCAGTGTTGGGTCTGAACGGAAATATTTGAAATGCCATCGTAATAAGAATATTACTTGCGCTTAATAAACATATGAAAGTGTGTTCAGTTTGACCTTTCCACTCTACTTTCTACTGTAAAAAATGTAAAACCTTTAAAAATCAAAGATTGTGTTTAAATTCAATATGACTGGCTTGTGTTTGTGTGCTTGCACTTTTTGCACTGTATTGTGTGGCCTTGTATGTGCTACTGTAATACGTACCCATTGGCCACCTAAATTAAAAACGACAGTACAAATATTTGCCAATTACTTCCACCCCAAATTGGTGTATCGACTAAACATTTTTTTAAATATCAAATGTTTTCTCTTTCCTTTTATATGAAGCAAGTCAAAAAGGTATTGTATAAGTGAATGTGAACCCTTGAAAATGTAAAAGAGTAAAAGCTCTTGACCTCTGAACTTGTTGAATTGCGTCAGTGAGAATCAGTCCTCCATCGTCGTCAGAGCAAAGTAGCCATGGGAGCTTTCCAAGAGCTGTATTTTTTGCTGCTGGAGGCCAAAACACTGATGTCATGTGGCTGCACTCACTGCTGCTTTGTCACTCAGAGGGTCATAAAAGATACAATGTGTTTTAAGAGAGAGACCCTCAGTGCAGATGCGTAGGATCAGCAAAAGCATCAGATTTAAAGAGCTTTTCTTGTGTTTGCCTGAAAGCCCTGGGTACAAATGTTAAGAATTCCAAGGAAAATGGGCAATCATTGACTGACTGACTGAGAGGAAATGCCATTTAAGGAGTCAGTGAGTGAGCCACGGGGAACAGCAATCAGTAAGAGCTATTTCTAGAGAACCTCCTTCATCTCTGGACTGTTTCAAAGAGCTTTGTGTGACTTTTTATTTTAAGGAATAGTTTAAGGATTGATAAGTTAAGTGTTTACTGAGGACAACATTCTCTTTTTTATGGATTTCCTCCTGCTACAAATAGATAGAATTGGAGGGATGTAACCCTCTTTAATGGTCACACATGCAGAGCACACAGCACATACATTGAAATGTGTTCTCTGCATTTAACCCATCCTAGTACCAGAAGCAGTGGGCAGCTATTGTACAGCGCCCGGGGAGCTATGGGGGTGGGGGGGTGTCCGGTGCCTTGCTCAAGGGCATCACGGCAGGGCCCATGAGGGGAACTGGGCGCATTTCCACCATGGCGCGGTTTAAGCGTGCCGTGTCGTGCCGGGCCCGTTTTTGGTTGCGTTTCCACTATGCCTAGTTCCGGCCCGGGGCTACTTTTTCACCTTTTTTCTGGCCCGACAAAATCGTGATTCTATCGGGGCCAACAAACAGGCTGAGTCAGGCTGAGTTTGCTAGAGAGAGAATCGCTGGCAAGGGGGCTACAACTACAACAAGATGAACATATTTGACCGTGATTTAATTGTAATACACGTTTCAAAATGATGCCGAAGTAACAACATACTGATAAAGTAATGTTAGTAAAAACCATGAATTAATGCTTTGACAAGTCTGCAGGCGAAAAACCTTTTAAAATGCGCGTTGTCTAAATGGAGATCGGCTAAGCTAATGCAATATATGCTCCGACCGTCCACACTCACAACAACGGCCTATACAGACATAAATAAACCAGCGACTGTATTCGCCATGACACAGACAGTCTGTGGTTTGTACTTGTTTAACTTTTGTCTAGTTTCTGACCTGTCAGTGGCACATACACCACAAATAACTTAAGTGATCATACCATGAGGTGCACCTGGTCTCATGATTCGGCTTAGGTTGCATGGATTGGTCAGTAACATACAGTATACTCAGACTTTGTGGTAATAAAGGAGGGCAGCACGTCTCCACATTACCAGGACTGCCCGCCAAACATAATATGACATAAAACACACAAACATGTCAAATGTGAACGTAGGAACATTTTGATAAGTATGGCAATATGGCAATATATATATGCTGAATGATATAGGGGAAACACTGTGTATATATGCATACAAGGTTATTTTCTAAAGTGACAACTGTTATAGCTCTTCTTTGATGTAGTCTTTACCCAGTCATTGTATCAACATTACTGATAATATTCATCAAAAAAGTTATTTTCTCCAGATCTAACATGGAGAATTAATTATCTCCAACAGCAATTTGTATTAAGTGAACAAATACCAAGAGTAAAATTAAACATTGATCTTTGGTGGGTTTTTTGTCTTCTTTGGTTTCTTGAGCAGGAAATGTTCCCTTTTATTTTTTATATTTCCTGACAAAGCTGTTAATTAGTTAATAAGTTATTTGAATGGTGGGTTTTTGTGCCTGTGAACATTCTTTCCTTTGAAACGGACTCCTTCTTTTCTTTGTCAGTGTTTTCCTGTGACGTGGTCATGGTGAGTGACATTGGGGAAATGCATTAGTGCGAGGGTGGGAGGGATTACAGAGACCCGGCCTAGAGGACAACACACTGCACCCACACAGTGTGTACCACAAAGCTGAGGAAGGAAATGCTTACACACACAGTCTGCAGCACACACTCACACAGCACATGCTCTGAGAGGTCCTTTTAAGGGAAAGGCCCAGGCTCATGAACGAGCGCTGAGTGGAGCACAGGGAACGCCTTTAAATACAGAAATATAAATACATATGCACATTTACACATTGTTGTATCTGCACGTCTACATGGGTCTTCTACTAATAAATACAGTCGTCCACCACATCTGTTCACTGTTTATAGGACACTTCGAAGAATTGGAGGATGAAACCCTCTTTAATGGTCACACCTACATGCACACAGCACACACAGTGACATTTGACCTCTGCATTTAACCCATCCTAGTACTAGGAGCAGTGAACTTGATATTCTGTGTTTATAGACTTGTCCTATTACTCATTTGAACATGCTATGTTTACTGTAAAACCTGCACCTATTGGTTTAAGGGTACATGTAGTCTGCCGGATAGTAACTGATGTATGGTGCCCTTACTTTACAGCAATTAACCGCTAAATGTTTTCTATGAATCCTGTCGAGGAACTTGACTTCTGCTCTCACGCACGTTCAGCATTTCCACATGTTTGAGACTTAGGTCCAGCTAAATTGGAAACTGTCTCACATCTCTATTTTCTCCCTCTCTGTTCCATCTCTTTCTCTATCTGCTCCTCAGGCCGAGGCCAGGCTGGCAGCGAAGAGGGCGGCCCGGGCAGAGGCCAGAGAGATCCGCATGAAGGAGCTGGAGAGACAACAGAAAGAGGTACAGGTCCAGAAGTCACATTTAGAATACAGGAGACCAGTATGTCTACCTGCAGAAGGCATCAGTCATTTAGCTGAGTAGCATATGTTGGCATGAGTTGTATCCATCTATCACTCCATGTCTGGAAGAGTTTTCTATGTGTCTGGATATTACAGCTTAACATTGAGGGAGGGCCGTTGATCGTGTGTGTGTGTGTGTGTGTGTGTGTGTGTGTGTGTGTGTGTGTGTGTGTGTGTGTGTGTGTGTGTGTGTGTGGTGTGTGTGTGTGTGTGTGTGTGTGTGTGTGTGTGTGTGTGTGTGTGTGTGTGTGTGTGTGTGTGTGTGTGTGTGTGTGTGTGTGTGTGTGTGTGTGTGTGTGTGTGTGTGTGTGTGTGTGTGTGTGTGTGTGTGTGTGTGTGTGTGGTGTGTGTGTTGTGTGTGTGTGTGTGTGTGTGTGTGTGGTGTGTGTGTGTGTGTGTGTGTGTGTGTGTGTGTGTGTGTGTGTGTGTGTGTGTGTGTGTGTGTGTGTGTGTGTTTTGGGGGGAAGTGTGTGTGTGTTTTGGGGGGGAAGTGTGTGTGTGTGTGTTTTGGGGGGAAGTGTGTGTGTGTGTGTTTTGGGGGGAAGTGAAGTGTGTGTGTGTGTGTTTTGGGGGGAAGTGAAGTGTGTGTGTGTTGGGGGAGTAAAGCTTTTTCTAGCTCACTTTTCTTAGCCTTTGGTAATCCCCCCCTCTCCCATCTGACATGTTGACCTGTCTCAATTGAATCCTTAAAGGTTACTTATTGCTGAGTCCAGAGATGATTTGGAAGTAAAGTCCCCTGCAACTGTGATCACATGTCACCCTTTTGGGCCTTGAACTTAAATGACCTTGAAACTTCCTAAAGGTTGTCTTGTTGAAGACTCAATTAAGATATAGTTAGTAGATAAGATGGCTATAACCAAAAACAATCCTAAAACAGCCAAACCCTTTAATATCAAGGTACTTCATTGCATTATTTCAAAATACTGCCGTTGGATGTACAGCATTGCTCACAATGGCAGAATGCAAACATAGACATGACATATCTGCGATTTCATAAAATGTTTTCTCACCAGCCCATCCCTGTTCCCTCGTTCCTTAAAGATCACTGCTTTACGTGTCGTTATAGCAAACCCCTTTTCCCATTAAGCTATTCTGGGATATTCATTACTCCAGCAGCACTCAATTATTCAGCAATCAAAACACAGGTGGGGAGCCAACAACATTCTTCACGCGCACACAGACACAGACAACACGTGCACACACAAATACACCATCATACGCACAGGATTAGGGCTCACTGTTAAGTAGAGTCTGGTCAGGGTCAGTGTGTGTGTGCGCGTGTATGTGCTTTAAACCTTTTAGCCGGGTTCTAAAGTAGCTTAGCAGGTTGTCCTCCTCAGTCCAGCCTACAGCGAGACGTTGTTGTTGCCGTGCTGTTTCCATGAGCGATGGGTTGCTGCACTCACATCCACCTTCAGGACTTTAGGATGTCTTCTCCCATGCTGAAGACTGCTAACGGTGGATTATTGGCTGTATAGCAGCAAACAAGAGCCGTGTGGTTCCCTCCATTGTGCTGCTCAAACCTTTATGCATGGCCGTGGTGTTACCTGCTGACTGCTGAAGGATGCAACCTTTCCTTATACCCTGAAGGCAGCAGGACGGCTGGGCGTCGGCTGGCAGGGAGGGGGCTTAGGGCCGCCCTCAGCGGGCGCCCAGGGACCCCTCCCTTCACTAAGGGCAGCTCGGTGAGTGTAAAGGAAAGGGTGCAAACTGAGTAACTTGTGAAGGTGCCCTGGCTCTCCTGCTAATTGGTCGTCCAGACATGTAATTGGAGAAAAGTAAGCAGACAAGAGCCCTCCAGTCATTTATTGATCTGTTCTCACTGTGCAATGTTTTTGACACATTATGCCGTTTTACATTTTCATTGTCACATTTTAAATTGTCATTAGAAGTGGAAAACAACAAATGTAGATTTCGGATTATGGCATCTTTTCTAGGTCAAAGGTCATAACGGAGTCAGAGCCGATGTTGCACCGATCGTAGCCATGAATTTGTATGTGTTTACTGCTAGTGCACAGATAGTTTGTGGCTTTAATAATGCAACATTAAGGATATCGTAAGCAGAAATAATGTGAATCTGGTGCACCACAGCGCTCATTGTAGGTTATTTTAAATAAGTCTGTCCTCTACAACTCGTGAACTCTGCCTGGAAGATGACGGGGTATGGCATATTATTTGAGTGTGCTGCATTGCAGTGGGCACCAGTGCCAGCTAGGCCTGTCACGATAATTAATTTTGTTGGACGATGACTTTTCCCGGAAATTATTGCGATAAACGATAATATTGTCAGTACCTTTGTAAGACCATTTTAGACCACTGACATAATGATAATATATAATAATAATTCAAGTACATCCTTTTTTATTGAACATTCAACATTACAAATGAAATGTGAAATAATATTTAAATATATAAATTATATATAATAAATAAAACAAATAAATTAAATTATAAAAAATGTATTGAATAAATCATACACAACCAAAACAATAAATTAAATAGACTCAGGCTGGAAAACAGAGCTCTCTTGTGGCCAAAACACGCAATTGCATTTGTCAAAATGCAGTAGTAAAAAATGTTTTTTAAAAATAAAGTAAGTCGGGAAGGTGGGCCTCTCCATCTCCAGCTGCCTTGTTTGCTCCCAGCTGGGAAAACGGAATGGGGTGGTTGTGTTCCAGGTGCAGTTTAAGGTTGGTCGTATTGCTAGCTTTTGTTGCTACCTTTTTAAAACAAATGCGACACATCGCCCGGCTCATTCAAGTCCGTAGGTTCGCCTCGTTGATTTGGCTTAAATGCAAAATATTCCCACACCGGAGATGTGGAGTTAGGTTTTGCAACCAATTCCATTTAACTTCAAATTCCCCTCGAGTAAGTCACACGTTGTCTCCTGCTTGTCTCTATATTATTCATTTGGCTGCTACACTGTTGCACGCAGAGTGTCCTGACCTGGCTGTGTGTGAGCCCCGCCCCTCACAGCGCGGCCGGGCCGGTAGAGTGGTCTCTGCCGGCCCGGCACGCTGTGTCTGGCTAAAATGCTGGTCACATCCTTATGTAAACAAACACGCATCTAAACGGCAATTTATCGAGGTCAGAACAGTTATCGAGTTCCTTTTTATTTATCGTACGATAAGTCAATTAATTGCGTATCGCGACAGGCCAGCTGAGTTCATGCACTCTCATCTCCACTGAAGTCTACAGGTGGGCAGCAGGCCGTCCTCACACTGATTATCTAGGAGTTGTGTTGTTCCCAAAGTGATGCAGTGGACGCAGAGGGCAGTGTGGGTCGATTTTTGGAAGACAGAATTACACGGCAGGCAATCCGTGCTTTGGGCAAGCTTACAAGGGAGACAGTGGTAGTAAATCTGGATTAGAGTACTGAACCCATGTGATGGAAAGTGCAGCAGTAGGCTGGGGTGTGTTGGATCTGCTCGGCGGAGGTATCAGGACAAGGTCAAAGAGACGTTGCCCTTTTTCTAAATAAACAGGGTTGTGTTTTGTCATCAGCGTAAGGAGCTGTGGCACATTTCTACTGCTCAGTCAGACAGTGATTTGAATATGAAGTGCAAACATTACAGCTGAAGGGCAGAGGTGTTCACAGTGTGGACATTTATATCGACATTTTTCTCGTAAACAATGTTTCCATGTCTGTTAACAGCATGAGTAGGATTAACTGTATGACAACGACTATGGTGAATAACATTCTGTATACAAATAAATATAGCACATCCCCACATGAGACAGCTACGTGTTGACTTGCTGACTCGGAGTGATACACTGTCCTCCCTGGGTCCAGTCCACAGACCTCTCCTTACAGCTAAAACTGTGGTGATTGGAGTTTAGAATCACCGCTCAATTTTACACGCAGTACTGATGCGGAAATGTTTAGAATAATACACAAGAAGAATAGAATTGCAAATTTGATGTAATGTTGGAATGAAAATGTCTCTTTGAATCTGAATATTTCACGCAATACAATTGTGCTCTAGCTCTGCATCTGTAAAGTAAATGCAAAGAGTAGTCGAGTGCTTGGTGACCACAAAGTGCCCAACCAAGAAATACTCCGGCTCATAAGCCGTCCCTCTGCTGAGCTAACTGGCTGCGCGTCATACTGCTCAGTAGGATTCATTTTCCCGGTATATATATGTTCTGTCTTTTAGAATCAGCACGACATCCAGGGAAATCCTGTCAAATGTACTTTAAGTTATAGCTTTAGACACAGTCAAAACACATTGGTCGTGAAGCAACACTAAATGCATCAACCTATGGCATCGTCATTTTATTTAAAATAAGACTTCATACTCTGTTAGCGTTCTGTCTGCTGGTGCGAGCCTTTCGTAATAGTATCATAATGTTGGATATATAATAATGATGTCCTAATTAACAGAACTTTTCTGATTTGATCATTTCCAACATTGTGCTACATGGGTAAAAGCCAATACAGTCGGTTTAATATAGAACCATCCCAGCAGCCTCTGTGGCATGCTTAATTTGCAAACTGCAAAATAACCCATGTTTAAGATCAGGCCGACCTACACTGACGGTATAATAGTTGAATATGTGGGCCAAGCGCTAGTTCATGCGGAAAGCATATGCATATTTCTGTAGAGACATAAAATAACTTTTTGTAAAGAACTCCATACTTCTGTCAGGATTATGTTGTACCTGTTAGTCTATTTGGTTTACACTGACAACATAACTTGTTTTTCCAGTTTTCTCGTTCATATTTTTCTTGGGAAACGGAAAGTAGTTTGAATGTGTGTTCTTGGGAATTTGATTCACTGCACTGACATGAGTGCTATCAAACCTGTCATCTAATGGCGCATTTCCACTGCAGGGCCTCGCACGGCTTAGTACGGTATAGTTAGGCCTTGGTAGGCCAGGCTCCCTTTATGCTGCGTTTCTATTACAGTTTAGGAACTGGGGTAGTAACTATAGTAACGCAGTGTAGGCGGAGCCGTGACGTCATCTTCAATGCGAAACACAAAACCAACATCAGCCGTTAGCTGTTAGCCCTCAGAGCTCACAGCTCCTCATATCTGTTCAGAAACTAGACAAAAGTTAAACAAGTACAAACCACAGACTGTCTGTGTCATGGTGAATACAGTCGCTGCTTTATTTATGTCTGTATAGGCCGTTGTTGTGAGTGTGGACGGTCGGAGCATATACTGCGTTAGCTTAGCCGATCTCCATTCAGAAAACATGCATTTTAAAAGGTTTTTCGCCTGCCGTCTGTCTGCAGACTTGTCAAAGCATTAATTCATGGCTTTTACTAACTGGTATCAGTATGTTGTTACTTCGGCATCATTTTGAAACGTGTATTACAATTAAATCACGGTCAAATATGTTCATCTTGTTGTAGTTGCCAGCGATTCTCTCACTAGTTTAGCATACTCAGCCCGGTTGTTGGCCCGGAAAGAACCTCGATTTTGGAGAGCCAGAAAACTGTGAAAAAGTACCCGCTAGCCGGAACTACGCCAAGTGGAAACGCAACCAAAAACGGGCTGGGCACGGCACGCTTAAACCGTGCTCCGCGCTGTAGTGGAAATGTGCCATAACACTCTGCAGCAAAGGCAATCGGTGTATTACCCAACAATTAAAAACATGTTTTGGTTGGCAAGTTTGGGCTTCCTCTGGATATTGTTCACTTTGTCTGAATGTAAGCTCAGCTCACCTCCTTATTCTGTTCTGCATTTCCTGGCACTGCTTTCTGCCACTGATTCACACCTAAAGAACCATGGGAAACGCCTGGTGACCCAGTCTGCAGATCTCTAGTGAACTCCATGTGTTCTGGGGTCACTTTCTGTTGGTCCTGATGTGCAGTGGGGTACTGAACATTCCTGAGCTCCTCTCATTAGCAGAACACTTCCTCTGTACTTGTCATGCATGCCGTCTGTCTTTATCCGTCACATATTGCAGCTGCCTGCTTTTTGTTTAGATTTCATATCTTTCTTCATCAAATATTATTTCTAAAGCTGATTTATCATTTCTTTCCCCTTTTTTCATGTTTGATATCCTCCGATCTTTCTCCTCTACATCTCGTCGGTGTGTAGATCTTTCAGGTGCAGAAGGTAGGCCTCCTCTTGCTCAGTCCCACCTCGGACATCATTGTGGCGTGTGCTTCAGATCCTGCCGAAGTAAAGGAAGTGTGTTACCTGTGTTCTGTTTTCTGAGCTGTCCTCCCTCATGTCCTGTCTCTCAGAAATATTATGGCTTGAACACCAAAGTAGACGACCGATCGGACAGCAAATGGGGAGATATTGAACAATGGATGGTACAGTTACTGTGCGCTGATGACATCACTAAAACCTAACACTACGCATGTTTTCTTTATTTTTGCCTGCCTGTCTGACGGAGGCTTTTGTAGTGTGCAGTCTGCAGCTGAATTTCAGATCATTCCTGTTGAGCCTTTTTACAAAATATGGGATTATAAAGAGTCAAAGCTTGGCCATTAATGATAATCCACTTATTCAAAGAAGCGGGGTGCCTGTGTGGCTCAGAGTCAGTCTGACCATCTGCCCCTCTGCTGTGACACTGCATGGGATTTACTGAGTTCAATGACCACTTTAGACACTGTCCCAGACCCTCAGAGGTTTAAACACTGTAGAGTGTGACCTGTAGGCTCACTAACTGCATTGTGTGGACTTGTTGTTGTCGTTTACTAAAGAAACTCACTGAGTGCATGTTGCAATGGGAGGTTTGTTTCTGAATGACTGGCTCAGTGAGGGTTTCAGGGATGTGCACGTCTGATTATGTGTGCTCCATTATCAAGTAAAAAGTGATCTTGATTTGTTTAATGCAGGAATTGTGCAAATCTGTTGAAATGAACAAAAAGCAGGTGATGTATGCTAGTGTTTGCTAACATTGATTTGTTTAGTATGGTCTGCAATGCTGGAGACACATATATTAGGGCTGTATTAAGCAGCTAAAAAGCTTTTCTCATAATGTTGACATTTTAAATCAACATGTCTATGCTGCAATGTTTTTTTTCTTTTTTGCAGATACATTAGGTTACACTAATATTATTAAAATATATATTATTATATTAAGTTATGCTTATTAAAGGAAGTAGTTTCACTGAAAACATTGATTTGATCTGAAGAATCCCTTAATTCAAATTGAGATAGTTTTTTACTTTTTGGGGAAATCTTCAATAGAAGCTGAACAAATTTAAAAAAGGACATGCAGTTCAGCCCACCAAATCTTCATTCTATCTGAGGAATGAAGAATCATCTGGGCCATAATAAACCCACTGTCATAACATCAGGGTCCTAAATGAAATGTTTAAGCAATGTTTGGGCTGGTTGAAATCATGCTACTTTTTGATGGAGTGAACTCTGGACCTGACTGACCTCAGAGTCATGGACCCTCCTTCATCGGTCTCATTGATCTCTGACATCTCTCTCCTCTTCTTCACCCTTCATCTCCTCTCTTCTCCACCTACCCCCCCCCCCCCCTACCTCGTCCAGGAGGACAGTGAGAGATGCTCACGTTCTTCACGGATACACACGGTTTGTAGCACTCCCTCTCCCTTTCCATCTCCTCATGCTTTTCCCTTGCAATGTGTCCTCCACCACTCGGAAAACGTTACATTGAAATATTAATCCTGAAGACCATAGGCAGGATCTAATGTGGCCTCAGTTTAATCCATGTATGGTGTGTGTATGTGCACACACCATACATACTCGTATAATGGCTGTGAGTAGAAATAGTAGAGTTGAAATATTTTTGTTAACAAGAGAAACTATGCTGAAAAAAGAGAAGGAGATAACTGTGCTGTATTAACAGGTACAGACTCAACAATTCTCTGTTATACAGCTTTTATTTGAAAATGAGCTGTATTCAAGCCTTGAGGTATGTTATAGTCATTTTTTAGATTCAATGATTCATGTTTTCCTTAAAAGACTTTTTTTATTTGGTTTTGTGAGAATTTTGTAAATTACGAAGTTACCACTGTTATTTGAACCATTTGTCATTGCAGCAGGAGACGTCCTGTCATAATCCACTCATCACTCTCACCTAATGTTGACCCTGACATGGGGACCCTTTTCCTGAACCCTAACCCTCCTCTCATTGTGTCCCCTCTCACAGCTGTCTGACGACGATGAGCGGATGTCAGTGGGGAGCCGGAGCAGTGTCAGGGTCAGTATCACTCAAACTGCATTTAGATCCAAATACTTTATTTAAATATCTGTCTGTACTATGTAACTTTACATGAAACTGTCAGTGTGGGTGGCACCGTATACTGATCCTGACGTTGTGTCTTCTGCACAGTCGGATCTTGATTCAGTTGGGGCTTATGGTGGAGGGGTAAGGGTTGATGGCCTTGGATGAGTTTTTTAACCCACTACCTGAGGATTCGTTGTGTTGATGAGTCGCTGTAGGACTAACAGTTTATTTGAAGAACTCAAAGCATGGAGTACATGTGTGTTGTCCTTGTGAAGAGACATGGGGTTCACATAAAAGGAGTGAGTCAGCATTGTCTTTTTTATGATGAAGGCATGTTTGAGATGCATGCTTTCTTTGTTGTACAAATTAAATGGATTTGAATTGAGGTTTATATTCTGTCCGTTGTATGCAGGATGAAAGTGTGTGGACTGGATTGTGTATATATTAAAGGAAACGATACATGCATGTGTTTTTGCTGTTGTGAAGGAACATTTTGGAGTCAGATTTGATTTTGACAAAAGAACACTGTTGTTCAGATATCAGGCTCCAACCAAAACACAGGCCACACTATTTTAGGCTTGGTTAAGTCTTAGGGTCATTTCTTCTCTGCTATGTCATTTATTATTCATTTTCCTGAGCAAACAACAGCCAGGATGTTTGGTTCAGTGAGTGTTGGCTGAATCAGTTCGTCATATAACTTCATGTTAATACATGGTGGCTGTTGTTATGCTTCTGCTGTCTGTCGGGTCAGTGTCAAGACTTCATTGTGCATGTATGTGTTGGGTGTTTGTGTTTTTTATTAGTTAAAGATGACAACATTTAAAAATACCCATGACAAAATACGCATTTTTCTACCGACGCGTCATGCCTAAACTGAAAATGTGTAAAGCTCACAGCAAACTAGCTATCATCAAGCACCCTATTTCTTCCCTGATGCTATAGTGAACAACAAATTCAACCCTGTTGAAATTGGCAGGAGATGACCATGGTAACATTAGCTATTAGCTGTTAGCTAGCGGTGGGAAACAGTTCTGCTAGCTTCAGGTTTCATTTAGTTACATTCCGATGCATTCAATCTTGATTTAGTAAAGATTAATATTATATCTGTTCAAATGTTACTTGAATACATACAGTTGTCAAGGCAATATTAAATAGATTTAACCTGTTAAGCCCTGAGCCTGGCTCTCAGGCTCGAAAATGACATTCCCAGAACAAATGACCATATCTTCCCTTCTAAAAGGGTTAAATTAATAATCTTTTTTCTCAAAGTAATGATAAACCTGTGAGTTGGATGTAGAAAAGTCAGAATCAATATAGATGTTTTTTATTTTAAAGAAAATTCAGATTTTACACAGTAAAAAACTGTAAATTATAGTGTCCGTCCAAAGATTATTTTGTACTTATAGTGAAAACTACCCTTGGATGATGGTAAGGTAGACTAAAAGCTTTAGGAATCCAAAGTACAACATATAATAAGTACCCTGTATCAAGATTGATGCAAAACAAGTGACATTTGACCTTTTTAGAGAGATTTAGCAAAAAGAAACCACTTCTGGGGTGATTTGGGTGGATTTTCCTTATCTCTGGCCCCCCTTGGTCGATTTTGATGGTTGACACCTCTTTCTGACCGTTAGAGCCAATATAATCGAAGGGGGAGTCCCCCACACACACTCATTGTGAAAAGAAAAGGTGGGGGCTTCGCGCATGTCATTTTTCATCAGTGAACCTATCTCTAGCTTTGACATCTGGAAACGGAAAAGCAGTTTTATTGCTTATGGATTATCAGAAATCATTTCAAAGGGACACAGACACATTAGATTAACCTATGGATTAACTTCAGCAGCGTTTTTATCGTTTTAATCGTTTTAATGCCATTGAGGACCACTTTGGAGAGACTACAGAGCCAAGGTAAAAATGTTAGCATTTTTAGCTACCTAGCGTCACCTGTTTTGATGTCCGTTTTTGCTTATAACGTCGCCATTTCGTATAATTCAGTGATAATGTGGGTGTCCATCGATTCTGTGTCACCTCACGATGTGAAACGATGTCATGGATGTAGAGAAGAGATAAATAATAAGGTTTTGTGAGTGATTTTCGGTGCAGTAAGGTGTTAGCATTTTTCGCTCATTGCTAATTCAGAGGCTCAGTGTTAGCATTGTGGGTTTTCTTTTTAAAAAAAAAAAAGATCAGTTAGATGAGTTTCTTCCCGTTACATGGATATAAAACATTCATAGTTTATTAAATGAACATGCCCTCAGACACTGTTTCCTGCAAGATGTTGCGGCAGTGCCGGGGTCTCTCGGGCTTAACAGGTTGGAGAGGAAATAATGACCCGTTTAACCTCCTAACAAAAAGTGTTTGCTAACAATAATAAATGGTGTTTAGGAACATGGTATATTGGCATATTATTTTATTTTAGTTTCTCATCGGGGTATCGAATTGGTATTGATAATAGTGGATTGTCACCAGTTATGGTATGCTTCATTTGATTTATGGTGACATCCCTGGTTCAGATGCTTCCCCTCCACTGTGCTCACTCTCTTCTCTCACTCTAAGGACTCCTCCTCACTAACGAAGTCAAAGAAAAAGAAGAAACATAAGCACAAAGACAGAGACGTAGGTAGAAGCTCAGTGTCCTGTAAATCCCACACAGACATGACTCCAGTGTTTCTCACTCGTGTTCTGTGTTCACAGAGGAACGGGCCTGATGATGATCACAGTCTCCTGTCCAGCAGGGTCAGTAGCTGTGTGTGTGTGTGTGCAACTGATGGTTCAGACGTCTGGTCTGTTGTAGCTTTCTAGACAATGTGAGCATGTCCTCATGCTGCTCCTGTGTCCTGCTGTCAGAGCTCCAGACTGAGTGATGAGAGCAGAGTGTCCCGCTCCTCCAGGCTGGACCTCACGGTGCGTGTTGGTCCTCTTGTCTTAATCGCTGAACAGCGGTACAGTGATTGCACAAAACATTTAATATGTTAACGTTGGTATATTTGAACCTGGACCCTATTTTCCTTTGTTTTTGTATCTAATTGAGCAATAGGGAGAAGCATTTTGAAACTGGTCTAGTCTGGTTCTGTAGACAGAAGCCACAAAAACAGCTGTAATTTAATCTAGTAATTCTGTTCTTGTCTAACCTGGTTCTTTGATGTGGCATAAATATTTCTACATCTGACGTATTTATTTAACTGCACATCCACAAAGGAGGATTTTTTTAGTTTTTTTTGTTATTGAACTAAATCACAATCATACTTACTATTACCCTTTTATAACTATTATTAAAAACAAAGACCATGAAAGTCAGATTTGTATTCTAGATGTATGTTATTGGTTAACTGAAGGATTGAAAGTAATGACATTATAACTTAACGGCATGTTCTGTGTGAGATGTATGGAGAAGGGCCTTTAGTTTTTGAGGTGTCGGTGTTTGATGCTTACTGTGACCCCCCCCCCCCCCCCAAACCGCAGAGCTCCAGACTGAGTGATGACCCCCGGGGGTCTCGGGGCTCCAGATTAGACCTGCAGCCGGTGGGTGGCTCTGCACTCAGACTGTTTGTCACAACACTAATGGCTTTGGGTGCACACTGTCTGAAATCCTATTCATTAACACTTGCTTAAGACCTGGGAACGTTTTCATTGTTTTTATTAAAGTATCGTATTTATTGAGGCCTGTAGTGCACTTCTAAACATCTTCTCATCAATCCATGGTAAGAACACATCTGGGTGCATGTGTTGCATCTGTGGAGTGTGTGTGCTGTATATCCCAGAGACTCAGGACTGTCACTGCTTTTGGAATACTTTTGTGTTTAACTGTTAGCAAAGTACTTTTCTTTGTCAGTTCAGCCATTTGTCAAGCATGTGGATTCCTTTTCTTTGCTTTCTATTAAAAGCAGCAGAATGTCGGGAGCATGGTGTCCGGCAGTGGCTCAGTCAGTAGGGGCTTGGACTGTGAGCCGTAGGGTCGCCGGTTCAAGTCCCCGACCAGACCTAAATATGGAGTGTGGACTGCTACTTGGAGAGGTCCCAGTTCACCTCCTGGGCCCTGCCGTGGTGCTCTTGAGCAAGGCACCGGACAACCCCCCACCCCCCACTCCCATAGCTCCCTGGGCGCTGTACAATAGCTGCCCTTGGCTTCTAGTACTAGGATGGGTTAAAAGCAGAGAACAAATGTCACTGTGTGTGCTGTGTGCTCTGCATGTGTGACCATTAAAGAGGGGTTCATCCCTCCCATTCTATCTGTTACACTTTGTTAAGAATTGGATATGTTTAAAAATATGTTTCTGAACTTCCTGTCTGTTTTCCCCACTCCCTTCTGCCTCCTTCTGTTGGCTCGCTTCTTCCTCTTTCCTCATTTCAGACTTCTTACTCTTCCTCTGACCTGTACAGCTACAATGGTCTGTCCTCTGCCAGAAACCCCGGCTCCACTTACAATGGTTACCAGGTCTGTAGACAGTGAGAAATACAGTTGTTGCTGCTCTGTGGCTGCTAGCTGACCTTCCACCTCTCTGTGGGGGGGAAGAATAAATCACTTGAGTCATGTTTCATACTTGAGCTATCACAACCCGTTTCAAGCCTTTCAGACCTGAACCTCGTCTCTGTTGCAGTTAGCATTCCCTCACCAGCGTGCTTAAGAACACATGAAACTAAGCTTGTTTTAATTCAGAACAGGATGTAATGAATCGGTCTGAGCTTTTTCACATTTTAAATGCACTGCGTGTTGATGTCCCTCACTTTGAGAGTATCCTGGCGGGCTGTGGAGTGTAAGAGTGTGTGATCACACTGTGCAGCATGACCCCTCACTGTGTGTGTGCAGAGCTCCCTGTATGAAGACAGTGGGTTGCAGCGCGGCAACAGCTCCTGCTCACTCGTAAGATTCTCTGAGGATCGTGGCCTTGTTGTTTTGTGTGAGGAGTGTCAACCGTCACAAGAACAGTGCATATAACCAGGGCCGGCCCTTGGCATAGGCGGTCGCCTATGCCTAATTTTCTGCCCTTGATGTAATACATTAATAATTGAATAAAGTAAACACCCTTTGGACCCCGTCTAGGACCGGCCCTGCATATAACTCAGTGTGGAGGTGACTCTAGTGTGGAATAATAAACCAGGCCATGTGTGAAACATTCTTCCTTTTCTCACATGAGCAAGACCTTCACAGTATTTTGAGTTATTTGTTTCAGATTTTTTTTTATTTGTTGCTGCTGCATGGGAGTTGGAATTTAAGGTTAAATAAATACTTCCCCATCATAATGACCTTTTTTTATATCAATTTAGCACCACATGTTCTTTTTGTATATAACTCCACTGTGAACAAAGAAGACAACGCTGCATTTATAAAAGCCAAACTATATGAAATCTTTGTAAAACTGTCAGTAGGTAAATGTGTTCGTACAGTAGTGAGAATACGGCTGGATAAATACTATTTGAATCACACTGCATGAGTTGTGAGACTTTGTAAACTGATGGGTTGATATAGTTTTGCTTTTGTTAGAAGCAGCCTCATTTATATTCATTCATCAAGGCTTCTCTTTTTTATGATTCTCTGTTCGCCGTTTGAGGCACTTGACAAAGAAAAGTTTTTGTTCAAATGTCAAGGTAACTCGGGGTGAGTAATCGATAAAGGGTTATTTTGTGGGTAGAGTGTTGATTTTTCAGTGACTTGATGAAATGGTATGTAGATTTGACATTGAGTGGATGGTGTTCAGTACTCTGCAGCATGGTTCTGGTTCTGTGGGGGTCTGTGCATGTGTGTGTGTGTTTCCTACGGCTGTACACAGGAACATAACGCTGTGTTCTCTCTCAGCCTGTAGAGTACAGTAGTTGTCGCAGCTCCGGCTCCAGGGTCTCCTCCAGGGCCGGGTCAGCCCGCACCAGCCCAGTGGTGAGGCCCCCCCCCCGACACCCTGGTAGCAACAAGAGTCTACTTAGCATCAGCGCTTTGTTACCACATGGTCTATGACCAGCTTAAAGAAACAGTTCCACATAGGAACATGATATACTGTACCACAAACAGATCAGTTGAGTGCAACATGTGATGGTGCTATATACATTTTAAACATTAATATAAAGTAGAACAAATACATAACAAATATTACAATACAAATGGCAATAATATTATAAGAAATATGTACAATATATCTTATCTAAAGAGCTTTGCACATAAAGAAGTTGTGGTGTTTTGCAGAATGTTCAAATTGTCTGACCTTAGAGGATTCACAGCCATTATTTGACTATTCTTTGAGGATGTTACACTGACTCAGACGAGGCATGGTTTCCACAATTTGGAAATGTGCATTTATTGTTCTGTGCCCCCTGGTGGACGTTTGCAGGACCACTGCGGCTCTGTGGCCAGTTATCTGAGGAGTGCAGCGGGCGGCAGCGGCCTCCCCCGAGACCTGGATGATGTCACTATTCCTGACCTTTCTGATGTGCGTGGCTTTGCCCCCGCAGGAGGCCGCCGCCGTGATGTGAGCTGACTTCCTGCTTCGTTGCTTTTTCTGCAACCGTCTTCCATCCTTGTGCACTTTGCCCTGCAAGGAAGGCTAATTGTGTCTGTGTCCCAGGTTAATCTGCGTGTTGACTGTGTGGCTGTGGCAGGGAGCCAACCTGAAGATGAGCTGTGTTTGAAACACATGATCTGTTGTTGAAAGGGACACTGTCAGACTCAGACATTTGGTGATTGGATGATATCTGACAGAGTTTTGTCTCCTCCTGTACTAATACAATGCATGGTGTTGTTTATACAAGTGAACTTGTCTTTTCTGGAAATGCAAGTGAAAGAGCAGATTGTAGAGGTATTGTTCGGTTTATTTTACGAGATGTCCAGGTGAATGGTATTCCTGCAGGGAGCATTGTCTGACTTCTTTTTGTCTCCACAGGTGGAGGACAGAGATTATCTTGAGAAGGTGAGTAGATCACATGACCTATCTCTGTTTTTTTACTAAGGATACATAAAGTTACATCAGATGAAGAAGAATAATGATGGGGGGTCTTGTAATGTGTTTGGATTGTATTTGTTCTTTCTAGATTATTTTTGCTCTTATCATTCTGATCAATCCTAATAGAAGCTCTCCTGAAAGGTTCATTTTGTGAAATTACATTTTTAGAATTCTGAGATTATAATCTTTGGAAAAACAGTTAATATGTTTTTTCTCAAGTGCATCTATGATGCTGCTGTAATTTTTAGATAGATTTTCATTTTTTAAGCATTTTTTTTCCCCCTCTTTTTCAGGGATCTCGAGCAGCTTCCGCCCTGACAGCAGCCACCCTCACCTCGTTAGGCGGGACTTCCTCTCGCAGAGGAAGTGGTGAGACGGCTATAACTGTAGATGCAGAGACGTCTATACGGGAAATTAAGGTAAAGTCAAATAGAGCGGGCCAGATGACGCTTACAAATGTCAATACATCTACTGTGTGTATTGCATAGGAAATGAAATATTATAATAACATTTCAAACAGTTTCACGTTGAACAATACTTATTTGTTAATTCCTTATTGGACCAAACATAATTAAAACCTTATTGAAGACTTCCAACATTTGGAATTGTGGTCCTGTTTTGATAATAGAAACGTTTCTGCTGTTGTCAGAGTTTGTTCTCAGCTTTTCAAATATGGAGATGTCCTGCTTTGTGTATGTTTAGGGTTTATACTGACAAAACGAGACTTTTCTGGGATGGGCATTTTCACTATTTTCTGCCATTTAATAACCAAACCATCATTTTAAAAGATTGTGAAGTAAATGGGGAAATTAATTGCTTATGTAAATAATTGTAAATTGCAGCTCTTACTGTCAAACTGATACTGAAACTGTCACTGTAGAGAGCAATAGTAATGTCTCCCCCCAGACCAGAAGACATAAGGGGCATGTGTCCACACTGGGTGTTTCAATTTCATATTGAAAGGGATTTGCAACTCACACACACTCACTTTCATTTTCTCTGATGTAAAAAGTTCTTCCATAAAGTTCCCAGCTGTCATGCTTTTCCCATTCTCCCTGCAAACACTGGTGCTGATGTTCTGTCCTCCTCTCTGCTGCCCCCCTCTGGACTCTGTCCTCCTCTCTGCTGCCCCCCTCTGGACTCTGTCCTCCTCTCTGCTGCCCCCCTCTGGACTCTGTCCTCCTCTCTGCTGCCCCCCTCTGGACTCTGTCCTCCTCTCTGCTGCCCCCCTCTGGACTCTGTCCTCCTCTCTGCTGCCCCCCTCTGGACTCTGTCCTCCTCTCTGCTGCCCCCCTCTGGACTCTGTCCTCCTCTCTGCTGCCCCCTTCTGGACTCTGTTCTCCTCTCTGCTGCCCCCCTCTGGACTCTGTCCTCCTCTCTGCTGCCCCCCTCTGGACTCTGTCCTCCTCTCTGCTGCCCCCCTCTGGACTCTGTCCTCCTCTCTGCTGCCCCCCTCTGGACTCTGTCCTCCTCTCTGCTGCCCCCCTCTGGACTCTGTCCTCCTCTCTGCTGCCCCCCTCTGGACTCTGTCCTCCTCTCTGCTGCCCCCCTCTGGACTCTGTCCTCCTCTCTGCTGCCCCCCTCTGGACTCTGTCCTCCTCTCTGCTGTCCTCCTCTCTGCTGCCCCCCTCTGGACTCTGTCCTCCTCTCTGCTGCCCCCCTCTGGACTCTGTCCTCCTCTCTGCTGCCCCCCTCTGGACTCTGTCCTCCTCTCTGCTGCCCCCCTCTGGACTCTGCTGCCCCCCTCTGGACTCTGTCCTCCTCTCTGCTGCCCCCCTCTGGACTCTGTCCTCCTCTCTGCTGCCCCCCTCTGGACTCTGTTCTCCTCTCTGCTGCCCCCCTCTGGACTCTGTTCTCCTCTCTGCTGCCCCCCTCTGGACTCTGTTCTCCTCTCTGCTGTCACTCATCCTCGCTCACTGCTGCAATACACCAGGAGATCCATGAACTCAAGGATCAGATTCAAGATGTGGAGACCAAGTACATGCAGAACCTGAAAGAAGTCAAGGTATCAGCCTGTGACACCCCTACCCCAACCCCACTCACTATTAACTGAGCCGTTGATGTCCTAACTCCCACTGATCATTTTAGACGTGCTGTGATATGTGCAACCAAATGACTGTTATATGACCCATGACCTTTTCATCTGCCAACATTTTAATAAAAAAGCTGAAGGCTCTTGAAGTTGAAACAAATAGTATTTTAGTGAAGGGGTAATTTAGGAACAATATTCATGCTCTACAACAGGACTGTGACCATATGAAAGCTTCATGTCACCATTTTCCTTGTGATTCATGATTTGATCCCAATAATCATTAGAACATTAATACTCTCAAAACGGCACGAAGACATACTGAAATCACTTAACCTAGCATGTTGTAAGAAACTCGTAGGTTTTATTGAGTCACATTTAGGACAATTAATTTGAGCGGAAACTCTTATCAATGAAAAACAAACAATATGAGAGTAGGTCATCATAAAGCTACAGCCCCCCTGCAGACATTGCTCAGTTTTTCTAACGTGTGCTTTGAGCTGCTAACTGTTGATTTAACTGGCAACGTTACTTCTGAATGTTGCATGTCTTTCATGTGTGTGTTTGTGTTTGCCTGTACTTCTTCACGAGTGGTTGACAGTTGTGAGATAAAGATAAGTATACAGCTTATAGGCTATTCCGTTTTCTGTTTGTATTTAACTCAAATCAAAGGTACGTCTCTTATTACATGTTCTATGTGTTGCTTTCGGGCAGTGCTCAACGGTGGGCTAGAACTTTGAAAACAATAGAAATCAATTTAAAAAATGTCTATTAACCTCTTGATCTAACTATATTTAAACAAACTTGACCTAAGTTAGACATAAACATTTTATTTTACTAAAGATAAAACAATTCACTTCAGGAAATTCAACTCTGTAATTGTTATAACTCTAATTAAGCAAAACAGTCAATAAAAAGCCTATTTTAAATGTTATATTTGACATAGAAGTTGGTCTCAAAGAAGGGAAGAGAAAAAGGCCATTTTAAGGCCAGCATGTGTAATATTCTCCTGTTGTCTATATGTCATTAGGATGCATTAGTAGGAGTGGAGGAGAAGTACCGTAAGGCCATGGTGTCCAACGCTCAGCTGGACAATGAGAAGAACAACTTGATGTACCAGGTGGACACGCTGAAGGACTCGCTCATGGAGCTGGAGGAGCTGCTGTCTGAGTCCCGCCGCGGCTTCGAGGACAAAGTCAAGGTACGGCAGGCACGCTTAAAACTGACAACGTTCTACAAATAAGCCTGCTTTTCTCTAACATAAAGTACATGTGACAATAGTGGGATACCTCCTTTCTTCCTCAATGGAAACTAGCACAGACTTGACCAAGACCCTGACCATCAGTGAGAAATATTGTGTGATTCAGTTCTGCTGCACACTTTTAACTTTATGTTCTTCCATGGTCCATGGTTTTCTCTTCCTCCTCGTTTCATGAAAACATGGCCTGACAGTTTTCAGTATTCCTGCTGACAGACAAACCTGAAAGCAAAACCTCCTTTGCGGTGTCGTTAATATGGTGAAGCTGTACTCAGTATACAGGAGTGTTATTTTTGATGGAATTACAGTGGTGGAAGAAGTACTAGGATCCTAAAGTTTAGTCAAAGTAATAATACTGCAGTGTAGAAATACTCAGTTAAAAGTAAAAGGTCTGCATTCAGAAATCTCCATCCATAACAGTACATTTAAGTGTATTCATGTTTTTTATTTTCGTATTAATAAATGTTACCTGCAAAAGTAACTAGTAACACATTTTTTCAAATAAATGTAGTGAGTAGAAAGGTACAATATTTGCTTGTAAAATGTAGTGGAATAGAAATATGAAGTAGCATAAATATGTAGACTACAGTACTCAAGTAAATGTACTTGGTTACTTTCCACCAGTGGAATTACAGCAGAGCAGAGCTTACTCAAGATGTAGCTGACTCAGCTCATTGTGGATCAAACAGTTACTGCTTCATTGGTATGAAATGTGCTATACATCATAACGCAGCTCTCAGCACACTCGACAGTGATTAAACATCTCCCCTGTCAGGTTTTAGGGCTTCATGTGTTTCTGTGTATCAGATGGATTCTCTTCTCTTCTTCCTCACAGGAATGTGAGCGAGAGAAACATGCCCACACTGTGCTCCAGTTCCAGTTCAATGAAATGAAAGAGACGCTAAAACAAAGTGAAGAGCTGCTCAATGTGAGTATCTGTGTGTCACTAAGACAAGTGAAATGGAGCCTTCCATTGGGTCAAAAAGACAGAAAAGAGAACGGCTGTCTTTTACTCCATTAGTCCCGTAGAACGGCTGCACGTGGAACATTTCACATCTTTTTTCCCACACTGTATATGCATGAATCCTTTTTCAGCTTTCTCTCTCTGCATCTGAAACCTGATTTCCTTTCCCTGCTGTTTAGGACATCCGTCAGCTGCATATCAAACAGGAAGGTTTGAATAGAGAAATATGTGACCTGCAGGAGACAGTGGAGTGGAAGGATAAAAAGATTGGGGTACGGCCTATGAGCCCTGGTCTAGCAGCTCTGTGTTTGATTTCATTACATTCAGCATTTATCTCTGCCAACATGAATTCAGCATTTCCTTTGCATTAAACTTAATGTCAGCTTTTACTTTCACTTCTTTCCACCTCTTGTGCACTTTTCCCTCTTCACTTTCTTTGACACTCTGCCACCTGGCGCTCCGCTCAGGCCTTAGAGCGACAGAAAGAATACACAGATGCAATCCGGATGGAGCGGGATGAGCTCAGAGAGGAGGTGGTGAACCTGAAAGACATTCTGAAGGTACTCGGTGTGAGAGGGCTTATTCCGCTTCATGTGTCCACATTCTGGGAAGCACATTTCAAAACTCTTTTGAAACATTTTGTCGTTGTTGTTGCAGAAACTAAAGGTTTAAATGTTGTTCATTCAAGGTAGAAAATAATCACAAGTGCAGATGTGTTGAAGGTGTCACTCCGCTCAGGCTGAAGGTGTGTAATGTACGGAGCTCATGTTTGACTTTTCCTTTTTTCTAGAAACATGGTATAGTATTGGGACCTGATCTAAGCATCAATGGAGAAGTTGGTGAGACAGAAGCTGACGGGACCCCCGGTGCAGACCCTGCTTCCCCCCTGGCTCAGGATCTTCAGACCCCCCTGACAGAGGGGAACAGCATGCTCGGTAAAACACACTACCCAATAAAAACTGCTCACTGCATGGCACGGCACAAAACTGTCTGAAGAGTTTCATTTCTAAATGCTTTTCAGAGCAGTGATGAAAAACAATAATGAAACAATGAATACCAAGATGACACAATTTATATCTGAATACTTGTCTAATTTTGGAGTGAGCTCTTCAGGTACAGTGCTGTGCTGCTGGAATGTCAAGTGCTTTAACTCTCATTTGCTATGTCCTGAAAGGAGACGTCTGGTAATGTTCTGTGTTTTTCTTTCTTCACATGAACCTGAAAAAAGACGTATAAGAAAGTCTCACCTCCAATTCAACTCTGTTCTGAAACTTGTAGTCTCAACTATTGCTACACTATTGCTCAGAACAATAGAGATGTGTTTCCATCTACAATGGAAGAAGTCTGCTGAGAAAGTGTTACTTCTGAACTACTAAACGGACATTGTTTTTGTCATTGTAAATACCAGATCAGCAACGACTTGATCCTACTGGACTGTGTGTCAGCCTGATATATCTCCTACCTCAAATATTCAAAACCATCAATGAGTCATTCCTGAACATGTAAATACTTAGTAGAGCACCAAATGTGTATGAGTCTGCAGCTGAAAATAGTACTATTGGGTCCAGTGTGAGTATATTTGAGTTGCTAAACACTACAGAGACTGGCCGTATTAGAACATCATTGTGCTTGGTATGTCTCTAAGGAGCCATTGGCCTTGTAAGCAGTGAGAGATGGACTCATTGATTATTTAACTTGATATAGTCTGTTTATCAAGACAACATTTATAGAGAATTGCCAGACGTACCCTTCACACATCATCTATCTGCCCTCATGCTTTCCTGTACAAACTAACCTTCCACTCACTAACTTTGCAACACCCTGTTTTGTCATCATTACTAATGTCTTTGCTTTTAATCCTTTCTGCTGCACCTTCTTATTTTCTCAGCTAATGCATATTCTTCTGAATCACAACTCATCTGTTAGTGCAGGTGGTGTAGGTGTGTCATTTCTGCAAGGACTAAAGGGCTGATGGTCGAAATCAGAGCTCTTTTTAGCAAAAAGTATATGTGAGGAACATACTTCTGTATCTGCTGTACTGTGTTCCCTGATCTGTTGGCTTCAGACTTCTTTTCTTGTCGCATTGATGTGCTGGGGATCAAGACCTTCATTTCGGTGTTCCTCCTGCCTCTTCTCTTCTCTGCTCCTCTTGGCCACCTTGGCTCCGTGCTTCTCTTCTTGAATCAATCAGGCGTTCTGCCTTACATTGACTTCTGCTCATGCACTTCCTCATGAAGATTACATTTCAAAAATAATGTTTTACTTCACCGTATACTCTTCATTAACTCTCAGGCAACACAGAGGAGACACTGTTGAGAAGTAGCGAGGAGGAAGAGGTGGATCCAGAGCAGCAACAAGAACATTTTGAGGAAGCCAAAGAGAATCTCTTTAGCTCTGAAGCACTCTGTAATGTTTCTGGTGTGTGCACTACGGAAGCATCTGAGGAGGAACAGCCAACACGAGGACAACAGAATGCCACAGAAGAAGATGGTGTTGAAGAACCTGGCCTTAGGAAGGACTTGAATGTTGACATGAATGACCAGTCGGTCACAGAGTCCAAAGATATAATCATTTGTAGCCCTGAACTTCAGGGCATTGTCACAAGTTCTGAGGAAAGTGTCACAGAAACAGTAATGCCTGAGGGCAAAGAGTTAGGATGGACCAATAACCTAGATTCAGGGGAGACAGGAAGCCAAATCAATAGTGTAGACACACAAAGTGATGACATTAGAGAGGAAGATCATCTGAGAAACACAGAATCATGTCCTGAGCAAGAGGTTGGGACAGAGAGCTTACCTGAGAAGTCCGTACCAGCTGAGTCAAAGACAGAAGCTCAACCAGAGCCTGAGAACTCTGAAGAGGCAGAGCACATGGAAACTGAGGAAATATCAGGTAACGCTCAGCCTCAGGGCGCTGCTGCTGCTCCAGGGAAAAAGAAGAAGAGGAAGAGGAAAGGTAAAAAGAAAGGGGGGACGCAAGAAGATGGGAACCAACAAAGGGATGGAGCAAATAAAGAAAAGGGCAAAACAGAGGTGAAAATTGAATTGGCTACAAAAGATAATGAGCTAACGGCAGAACCTGAAATTCTTAGTTCTGTCGCTGAAGCCCTCGAAGAACCAGGGATGCATCAAGTAAAGAATGTGCAGGACAGGCACACAGTAGAAGAAGTGGAACCTATTGAAACCCTTTCTCCCAATGACTCTCAAAGAGATTCAAGAAGGGATCATGTTACAGATGAGCGTGACAAGGAACACACTTTAGAAATGGAGAAGGTAGAAGAAGCAGAAGCAACTACTGAAACATGTTCTCACGTCACAACCCCTGCAGAAGTGAGGCTGGATCATGTTAAAGATGAACAGAACAAGGAACAGTGCTTGGAAACCGTAAAAGCAGCAGAGGCAGTGGCACCCGCTGAAACCTTTTCTCACCTTGAAACTCTCAAGGAATCCAGAACAGATCCCATCTCCAAGGACGAGCAGGAACAACCTTTAGAAACACAGAGAGTAGAAGAAGTGGGATCTGTCCCAGAGACCAACCTCAGTACTGAGAGCCCCGATGATCTTAACAAAGAGTGCACTTCCTGCCTAGATGCCTCTAAAAGTGACATCTCAACTAATGACAGTGTCATCCAGGCCGAGTCAGAAATGATTAATAGTGCGGAGAATAGGGTTAGGCCTATTGACGAGATGAAATCAGAATGCACACCTAATATCCCAGAAAACACGTTTGAAAGCATCGTCAAGGAAAACGCAGAAGCTGGATCGCAGAATCCAATCAATGGTGACATGGCTGCTGAGGAATCTAAACCCACAAGCAAAGCTGAGAGTAATGATAAAACATCTGTGTCCCCATCTTCTACCAATGGCTTTACTGACTCTCTCAGGAGCTCGTCTGGCTTCGAGCTGTCTGCAGGCGTGAACTCGGCCAGCGTGGACAAGGTCTCTGATGGAGGTCCAGGAGACGTTATTGAGACAAGCAAAGATGATGAGGATCCAGGAATACAGACTGAACAAGACAAACCACAAGCATCTCCCAGTGTCCTGTTTCCCAGTAATGATGAGGCAGAGCTAACAGCAGACACAACAGAGAAGGAGGAGCTGAACAGAGGCTTGAGCGAATCTGAAGGTTTAGTCCAAACAGACCTATTACATGACCAAAAGAAAGAAAGTCTAAACAGTCCATCATTTGTAACAAACATGGATGTAATCAACACTGTTCAGAGTCTGTTGGAGACTGTAGTGCAAGCAGAACAGCTGGATGATGTAGAAATCCAGACAGCACAGTGTGAGGTTCACGTTGACAAATCCAATGCTGACCTGACCCCTGAATCAGAGATCCATACCACTGAGACAGTAAATGCACCAGATTTTCCAAAAGAAGCTCCTGAACATGGGTCGACTATGGAGCAGGATCACAGATCTGAAGAATTCACCATGGCAGAAGATCCAGAACATAATAACAATCCAAATGATCAGCAAAGCGAGACACAGCAACTGCATGAACCCATGGAAGACATTCCATCTCAGCTAACACTGCAGGTGTGCGATGAAGAGGACGGCGAAGGTCATTCTTTTGATTTTGATGACATGGATTTGGAGCCGGCTGAAGGTGAAAGTCTCCCTAGGAATCCCCAACCGGAAGAAGTGGAGGAGGGAGTTGAAGTTGTTCCAGATGAAGTCGGCAGCTCAGGCGTCCAGACTCCGCCACAAAACTGTTCAGCTCAGGAGGATGGCGCTTTGGAAAAGGGGGAATATTTGTTGGAAAAGGGGGAATATTTGTTGGAAAAGGGGGAATATTTGTTGGAAAAGGAGGAAGTAGGTGTAGCAAACGAGCCCAGGGGCATTGCAGAGGAAGCAAAGGTTCAGAGTGTTGGAGAGGTGGGGGGTGTTGCAGAGGACGTTCACCGGGCGGTGTCCCTGCCTGTAGAGGAAGGGTTAGAAGCCATTGAGCAGGTCCAGGGGGAACATGAGGATTTACCAAAGAGTTCAGAACAAGTGGGCAGCAATACAGAGCCCCAGCAGGCAGGGAAGGATGTGAGGAAGAACAGCAAGAAAGGCAAAGGCAAGGGCAAAGAGGAGTGCAAGATGTCTTAGCTTATAGATGGTATGTATTATGAAAATGTACCATGGATCTGCCCTATAGTAGTCTCTGCTTAGCTGTTTACAAAGTGGTCAAGTACATGTTTGCAGAACATTACAGCATTTTGTCTCTTTTCCAAACAAATATTGTAAGTTTTATTTTTAATTAAACAGACCAACGTTTTCTTTGAGGTCATGTGTGCAAAAGAAAGTGTGTGGAGAGGTGAGACTGTAAACTGCTTTGTAACCGTAGATCTACTGTCGGTAAATACTGCACTTGATACATCAGGTAACATTATTTAGTTATTAACAGTTATCATGCTGCTTGTTATGTGTAATGGTTAATGTTGCTGTGCCCCTGTATCACACATCACTTCATCCGGTACTGTTCCAGAAACTCAAGCATGTCTTCATTCCATAGGTGAACAATAAAAACACAGATGTTAGCTGGTCATTTTAGGAAAGTGTCTTATGGATGGTCACACTTTAACTGTGTCCCCCTGTTCTGTTCTTAGGGATTAATACAACTTGAAGACAGCTATTTCCATCTACATGAATGAACAATGTATCATAAATATGTTTGCAATGTGTTGCACTAAATGGAGAAGATGAATGCCCTTACTGATATGCCAATAAATACCCTGCTGTTACCAATTTAAAACGGTGATTTGTATGCATTTTGTAGGAAAATGACTTTACTGACATTATGAAAAATATTAGTAACTATACTTGGATGTCCATTTTGTATTTTATCTTATAATGTGCTCATAGTGTGACTGTGGCCATCTGTGTGCTGTTGCATTGACCCTCTACTCCACAGTATGTGCATGATAACCCCCCCACACACTCGCTCCGTCACTCCCCCATGGATGCTGCACTGTTGCATGCATCAACCTCTCACCCTGACCCAGCCCCCCCCCCCCCCCCCCCCCCCATCTCCTTGGCTCCTCCCACCCCTGGTATGTTGACTTCCTTTGTTTTCTGAAGATGGATCCTAACAGTTGATATTGTGATGTTGTAGTCTGGCTCTGTGACACTAACGTTCCATTTGAAATAAAAGATGTGTAATCCATGTTTTGATATGAAATCTTCAACATGTCTTCCGTTGCAGAGATCCGCCTGAGGAAGCTGGTGGATGAGCGTGAGAAGATGATCGAGCAGGTGGGTCTGTGGCAGCGCTGTGGCTCTTCATGTTTCTCCTGTTTGAACTTAGTTTCAATGGGAACGCTTTTTTTTAAACCAGAAGCAAAAAACCAAGTCCCTCACTCAAAGAAGAAGATCCACCTCGAACAGACCACCTACAACAGGGATGCCCACTGTTTTTCAGCTTGGGAGCTACTTTTAAAATAACTAAGTCACGGTGATCTACCTACATTAAAAATGCTAAACATATATTTATTTATATTTATACTGACTATACCTTATCTTGGTGTACCTTGCATAACTGCATGAACCCGTATGGCACAATACAACTCAGTACATGTTTGGTCATTACCTTACTCTGATAACCTGCCCTGGCAGGAATCTGCCAGGGCATCTTCCAGAACTGCTGTCCATGAGCCCTGGCCTTCAGCTGAATGTCAGCTTGTAGTGTCAATATCTAAATCCTCCACTCCAGACGAGTTCAGGTGAAACAGTGTTGCAATTTTTGATGCGAGTGAATCGACCTCAACATCTTCCCGAAATGGGTAGCACATAAATGTAGCGACTAGCTCGAGCAAAGCAAAGTCTTGAAAGCGTCTGTTGAACTCTGACACAATTGTCCCAATCTGCTCTGTGTAACGTGCAATGTCCAGTTGCGCACAAGCCTTCCTTTGCGTCTCCAGCTCTGACGCGAGGTTTTGGAAGTTCCCCAAATCATGGCGCTGCAGCTTTGAGGACAAATGTTGCAATTTTCGTTTGAACGCATTAACTGAGCTTATCATATTGACCACGGTTTTGTCTTTTCCTTGCAGCTCTAAATTAAGGTCATTCAACATGTTGGTCAGATCGGTTAAAAATGCCAAGTCTAGCAGCCACTGATCGTCGTTTAGTTGTTTGTATTCCGCACGTTTAGTGACAACGAGAAACTCTTTTATCTCCGGACAGAGCTCTCGAAATCTCTGCAGGAATGTCCCCCTACTAAGCCATCTCACATCAGTGTGCAGCAACAACTCAGAATGGTCGCAGTCAGCCTTCTCCAGATGCGAACGGAACAGTCGTCTTTGAAGAGATCTGGCTGGAATAGAACAGGCGATCTTCATTGCCACATCCATTATCTCTTTCATATTAAGCATTTTTGCGCATAATGCTTGTTGGTGTATTATGCAGTGATAATTGAGGAAGTCGGGGAAAGCATCGTCCTCCCTGCACTTGGCAATAAATCCATTCGAGCGGCCAACCATTGCGGGTGCACTGTCCGTGGTGATTGACACCAATTTGCACAGAGGGAGCTGGGTCTTCTCGATGAAGTTTTTGAAAGACTGAAAAATGTCCTCTCCCCGCGTGTGTTCTTTCATGGGCAGTATTGTTAACATCTCCTCTTTTGCAGTCATATCTGTAAATACCATCCGAATAAAAATGCACAACTGAGCTGTATCACTTACGTCTGTAGACTCGTCAAATTGCAGTGAGAAACAATCGCAGTCCGCGATGTCCTTCTGAAGCTGCTGTGTCAAATCCTCGGCCATGACTTCACAGTAACTACTTCTTGATAGCTGGAGAGCTTTGATTGAAGATAATATTTCTGGTTTGTTTTTAAAGTCCCGAAACAACGTGTGAGCTGCTTCAACGAATGCCTCTTTTATCATCTCTCCATCTTGGAAGGACTTCTTGTGCTTAATGATGGCGTGACTCACCCTGAACGATGCTTCGGTGGCTGCCTTTGATTTTGAAGTCACCTTTGTGAAAAATGCCTGCTGTCCGGACAACTGTGATTTCAGTTCCTTCACCTTTCTCTTTCTCAGCTCGCTTTTTGGAGGGAAGTCAGTGTCGTACGTTCTGTGAACGGTCCGAAAATGCCGCTCCAAATTTCCCTTCTTCGAAATAGCGATTGCAGATTTGCAGATCAAACAAACGCACTTCGAATATGACATCGTGAAAAAATAGTCCTCCTCCCATTCTGGATGGAAGTTGTACGTTTTTTGTTTCTTACTTGGTCCAGCTTCCCCACTCATTTTGATATCCTTTCTTTAGTAGAATTGTATTATTATAATACAATTACCCGCTCTATCGAAATCAGTCGGAAGTCGCAACGGCTCATTTCAAAATAAACGTGGATTTGCGTAAAAAAATAGTTTTTCGGGGTTTGGGTGTTTTGTTTGATTTTAAATAAACAAAGTCTTGGCTTTCAGAATATGAAACATTTATTTCCAAAATCACACGATAAATACATTTTTGAAGCTTGTAAAGGGAAGATGACAGGCACCTCTCACTCGCAATCTGCTCTTCCGTAGCGCAGCTCCCCCTCCCTCCGGCTGAAATTATGAATGCAAGGCGTAGTAATCATAGATAACACGACAGGGTCCGTTACAGTTTGTTTTCATCTGATTTCAAATAAACAAAGTCTTGGCTTTCAGAATATTAAACTTGTTTCGGCAAATTTAGATGATAAATACAACTTTGAAGCTTGTAACGGCATAATTACAAGCGGAGAACTGAGTAACGTAACGTCACAGCAGGCATAACAACAGCCGGTGTTTCTTGTGAGTGTTTTCCCCGGGAAACAAACACAATACACACAAAGGCAAAAATACACAAACACACACACACTTAAATGCCATAGTAAGGAAACTTGTTTTTCTCTTTTCGATCGCGATCAACGTAATGGGCACCCCTGGCCTACAATAATAAATAATAACCAGAGATGGAGGAAGTACTTATTTGCTTAAGTAAAAAGTAGCAATACTACATAGTAAAAGTGCCTAAATACAAGTAAAAGTATTACATGCTAAATGTACTTAAGTAAAAGTGCATGTATAAGCATCACATTGTACTTTAAGTACCGAAAGTAAAAGTATTCATTATGAGGAATGGGCAATTTAAGCAGTAAGTTAAAGGAATTTAGTTATGGGTTTATTCAAATTAGTTTATATACTACTGGGTAACTTAATAATATTAAATAATGCATTTGTTGTTTTATTTTGTATTAATGATCTAAATATGCAAAGTAGTAAGTAACTATTATGGTTAAATGTAGTGAGAAAATAATTCAGCATGTTCCTACATAATGTAGTGGAGTAAAAGTATAAAGTAGCATAATGTACAAATACTTGATTAAATAACAAGTACCTACATTTTTTACTTAAGTACAGTACTTGAGTTAATGTACTTAGTTACATTTCACGACTGATAATAACAATTATACATTTTATTTGTAAGCGTCTTTCAGGACACCCAAGGACATGTTACAATTCATCAAATAAATACTTGAACGGATAAAAGCAAAAAAGGGACATTTGGAAGCAGACGCATGAGGATAAGAGCAGCAACCTTCACAGAATGATTGGCAGTACAGGCTGCTCACCAGGAGCCAGGGGAAGGAGGAAGATGAATAACAGGAGTGGACCCAGTACTGACCCCTGGGGCACCCGAAAAACTACAGTAGATTAAAGTCTCTACAAATAGTTCAAAGACAGCGGCAACATTTTGGTCCCATTGAAATGCGTACAGTATAACATTTATTTGCGAAACAGATTTTTTTGTGTGAGATCTGCAAATTCCTTCTTAGAAATGTTCTCATCAACAAATCAAATCACATCAATGAGCTCAAAACCAACAAGGAACTGATTCTACTTACACACAGGCCGTTTCTCAATCGCGAGGATGCTGGCTTGGTAGCACAGCCGAGCCGAGCATCTTGCTTCAGAAGCAAGGCAAGAATACTTCCTGGCATTCGGAAAACGAAGAGTGGAACAGGCTAGCAAGTGTGCAGGTGTGCGTCATATGAGAGGCCCCGCCTTACATCTTCTGCCACAGATTTGGGGAAATTGGTCCATGCGCAAAGCATTGTGGGGATTTTAAGGACGCGAAGTCTACCCATGTGCAGCCTCGAAATTTCCCCCAAACCAAGGACGCGGCCTCGGTGGAATTCCAAGTATGCTGGAGATTGGAACAGTCTTTCGGCAGCACTCGATGACGTAGCATCCTTGAAATATTGGCTTGGAAGCCAATATCCTCGCGATTGAGAAACGGCCTTGGTGTGTGTGTCTGTTTCCTGTCTGTTTCCTTTCTGCCATAGAGCACCATTGTTGTCCATTAACACATCAATGCACCACATGCTCCGTCATTGCCATAAACAGATGGGCTTTTATGTTGATTTGATCCCATATACACTGTCCTGCTGATGGACATATACATAAGCACACCAAATGTACACCCTGAGAGAAAGTAGTATGACAATATGATAGTGACCAACTAAAAGGGGTTAGGTGGCCGGCATTACAGTGTTGACAGTCTAGTAGACTCAGAAACTGACAGCTGGTAAGTGTGGGTCTTGTGTCATGCATCAGCTGATGAGTGTGTCTCCTCTGCAGGTGAAGAAGCTGAAGGCCCAGCTGGAGCAGAAGACCCCGAGGAACGGCACTGAGAACACTCTGAGCCCGGACGGAGAAATACTTGAAAACGGCAACGACCCAAACATAATGGAGCTGCAGCGTGAGTACACATGTGCATGAAAACACA